AGAAAGAGAGAGAGCCTGATTAGTATCATTTCCTTTGTAAAATATACTTCTGTGGAAGAATATTTTTAAACATTCCTTTGACACATATATCACACATATTTGTTGTGTGTTTTTATATTTACTGCGTTTCATGTGTGCATACTTTTTTAATAAATAAATTATACCTTATTTTCCTACCTAGTATTGACAGAATTGACTATTGTGAGCAACAGTAACTGGGGTAGCTTAGAGAACTAAAGAAACTAATGGAAAACTAGGCCCAGGAAGGGTGGGAAGTAGGGCAGCTGGAGGGACCTTAGCTGTTAGAATTCATGGAGCAGCCTCAGGGCATCGCCATCAGCCAGTTCTACCTCAGCTACCTTTGCTTCTGTGTGCCTCACCCCAAGATTGGACTCTGACTTCCTTGGCTGAGTCACATGCCGATCTCTGTGAGCAGGGTACAGGCTAAACGGTGGGATGGAGATGGGCAGTTCTCCAGCAGGGAGTGAAAGAGGCTGTTGCCAGAAGAAATGCAGCTGGAAATCATCATTCTCAGCAAACTCTCGCAAGAACAGAAAACCAAACACCGCATGTTCTCACTCATAGGTGGGAATTGAACAATGAGATCACTTGGACACAGGAAGAGAAACATCACACACCGGGGCCTATTGTGGGGAGGGGGGAGGGGGGAGGGATAGCATTAGGAGATATACCTAATGTAAATGACAAGTTAATGGGTACAGCACACCAACATGGCACATGTACACATATGTAACAAACCTGCACGTTGTACACATGTACCCTAGAACTTAAAGTATAATTAAAAAAAAAAAAAAGAAAACATCCTAAAAAAAAGAAAGATGGAAGAAATATGCTGGGAGTTCAAAAATAATGTTAAGCTAGCACTTGAAGTATCTGTCCTTATACTTCCTGACATCTATTAAAGCTTCCGAGTTAAATACCTTCAATACGCATCTGAGAGATTGAATGGCAAAAAAAAAAAAGTTAGGATAAGTTTTTTGGGGGGGATGTGGAAGGCCAAATGTTTATTCTAAAGTTTCAACAAATTTGCTGTATTGTGCATAGCTGCATGAAGATCTGAGACAGATGCCCATTTACATCCACAAACTAATTGTGTGGCTTGAAGAAAATTACCTAACATCCCTAAATCTCATTTCATCTTCTGTAAAATGATCTTACAGAACTCATATGTAGATTACAGTAGATAATACATAAAAAGCAATTACACAGTGCCTGGTAAGGAGTAAGGACTCAATTAATGGTAACTTATGATTATTACTCTAGGCAGATCTTCTGAAAAGCTACCTTTGACTACATTTCTCAAACTCTCTCCCCACACCAAGTGGAGGTATAAAATATAAAGAAACAGTGATTTGGGAGGGTTCAACTAAAGTAGATGTAGTTATAGGAAAAAGGAGACAACTAATAAATCACAGAATGTGTGAAAACTGCATAAGCAACCTTTAAAAAAAAAATGTAGGCCAGGTGTGGTGCCTGTAAGCCCCGTACTTTGAAAGGCCAATATGGGAGGATCCCTTTAGCCCAGGAATTTGAGACCAGCCTGGGGGCAACATAATGAGATCTCATTTCTAAAAGACATTTCAAAAATTGGCTGGGTGTTGGGTGTGCACCTGTAGTCCCAGCTACTCTGGAGGCTGAGGTGGGAGGATCTCTTGAGCGCGGAAGTCCAGGCTATAGTGAACCATGATTGCACCACTGCACTCCAGCCTGGGTAACAGAGCAAGATCCTGTCTCAGAAAAAGAAAATTGTGGTAAAATACACAAAGCATAAAATTTAACGTCTTAACCATTTTGAAATATATGGTACAGTAATGTTAAGTATATTTCCATTGATGATCAACTGTTTACATCGTTGCCCAACTAATCTCCTGGACTTTTTCATCTTGCAGAACTGAAACTCTATAACCATTAAACAACTTCTCCATTTCCTTCCAACATCAGTGGCTCCTGGGAACCAACATTCTAGTTTCTTTTTCCATGAATGTGACTATTCTGGATACCTCATATTACTGGATTTATACAGTCTTTTTGTGACTCGCTTATTTCACTTAGCATAATGTCATAATGTCAACATTGAGGCTCATCCATGTTGTGGCATGTGTCAGAACTTCCTTTCTTTCTAAGTCTGAATAATGTTTTGTTGTGTGTGTATACCATGTTTAGTGTATCCATTCATTGAGTGAATGCTGGGTTGCTTTCAGCCCTTGCCTATTGTGATTAACGCTGCTAGGAATGTGGGTGTTCAAATGTGTCTTCAAGACCCTACTTTTATTTCTTTTGTATATATACCAAGAGCTGGAATTGCTGGATCATATGGTAATTCTATTTTTACTATTTTAAGAAAATACAATACTGTTTTTCATACCAGCTGCACCATTTTACATTCTCATCATTAGAGTACAAGGGTTCCAATTTCTGACATCATAGCCAAAGCTTATTACTACAGTAATTTTAAAAATAGTAGCCATCCTTATTGAAGTGATATGTCATTGTGGCTTTATTTTGCATTTCCTTAGTGGTATTGAACATCTTTCCATGTGCTTATTTGCCGTTTGTGTACCTTCTTTGGATAAATGTCTATTTAAGTCCCTTACCCATTTTTCAATCAGGTGATTTGGTTTTGCTGCTGTAGTTGTTAATGAGGTAAGATTTTAAAAAGTGATTGTGTGTGTCTGTGTGTGTTTTTGTATGTGTGCATTTGTGTTTTAAATAAAATCTCATGTTGTGTGCTTTTAGATCCAGGAAAGATTTAAATGGTTAGTGTTTGTTTTCAGTGCCAGCCATTGCAACATTAATTTAGAAAAAGCCAAAAAGTTGGTCATTCAGATTTTGTTTTTCATATATCATCAATTTTACCTAAACATGAATGTATATTTAAATTCAGACATAATATTATTCCGTACCTTAATTATTTCACACATATTCCTCTGTATCAATAAATATACAATTGCATCATAATTTAATGGGTAAAGAGGTATCCATTCATTAATTCAACAAACCTACACTGGAAGCTTACTATGTCACTGGGCTATGTCTTATGGATACAGTGATGAGCAAGACACACATAATCTCTACTTTTATGAAACTTTCCATTGTCTAGAAAACAAATCTATTATAGAAGTATCAGTGTGTTGAATATCTGTCCCTAAACACTAGTCAGGCTTTACCAGATATCATGACATGTAGATTCTTCTACAAATATCCTGCATTAGTAGAACAGCAAACTAACACTAGGGTTATTTGAATTCAGCATATTGTCTCTAATAGGCATCCCCAATGTGTGGGAATAAGATGCTGTGGCATCTTGGATTTTTGCCAATCAAGTTAGGAGGAGCTCTAGAATCCTCCTAGTGCACTAAAACCATTTAACTATGCTTGAAGGAGCTTCACTTTATCATTTTATCCTTTTAGCTTCATGCTATTTGTAAAGTAAGCATTTTTATTAGAGATTTTTACTTGTTTTTGTTTACTGGTTTCAAATAGGAAGGGAACTTTGGAGACTACAAATGGAATAGAAGAACTACAAATAACTAAAATGTCATGGAAACTAGGAGCTGGCGTGTCTGTGGGATCCCCAGTTAATAGTACCCGTTCTTTCACTTTAGATTCTGAGAAAATTGAGAAACAGTTATCAACTCCAGTCTTGTTGGAAGTTAAGTTACAAAATGTAACTTGCTGGGAGAATCAAATGAGCATGCTAATTAAGCCCCATAATTAGACCATCTTCTCTTCAACAACACTGGATGGAAAGACTTCCCCCTTGCTTTTACACTAAAGAGTATTTTGATATATTGGCAGTGTGGTGCAATAGGAAAATGATGACACAGCAGGACTTAAGAGGACTTGGATCTAGGGCTGGCTTTAGCATAACTGGATGTAGTACACAAGGAAGACACTTATTGCTGTATCTCAGTGCCACCATCTACAGGTGGGAACAATTGGTAATAGAATAGAGTAAGTGGAGATAATAATAAAGTCAAATCAGTCGTCCTTCAGTATCCTCAGGAGATTGGTTTTAGGACCCCCATAAATACCACAATCCAAATATGCTCATGTCCCTTATTTAAAATGGTGTAGTATTTGCATATAACCTATGCGCATCCTCCTGTATGCCTTAAATCATCTCTAGATTACTTGTAATACTTAGTACAATGCCTACGGCCATTTCATGCACATGAATTCAATGTAGTACTCACATGAGGCAAATTCAAGTTTTGCTTTTTGGAACTTTGTAAAATTTATTTTCTGAATATTTTTGAATCGCAGTGGTTGAATTCATAAAGGCAGAACCCATGAATATTGAGGGCTGACTGTATATAGATGTAACCTCTGTCAGTACTTACTTTACCAGTTATTTATCGAACAACTTATTTGTATCATGAGAGAAGTAATTAGGATGAGTAAATTGCCATGCAGGTCACTTAGGGTAGCTATGTGGTACAGGAATCTATAGCAGGGAGGTGATTTGGAGTTAACTGGAGCTGAGTTTGAGGTCTGATTTGATGCTTAATGTGTAACATTGGGTTCACTATTTGAAGACTTTAATCCTCAAAACTCTTTTCTACGTTACATAAAATCTACTTTATAGGGGTGAAGATTTAATAAGATGATGTATGTGAAATGCTCATCACAATGCCCAGAAGACAGATCATGCTCTATGAATGCTAGCTAACCTTCTTCTTCGCAAGATGGAAGAACTGAAATGCTTATACACAGAAAAGAGGAACAATTACATTTTAATTGGAGCAAAAAAATAAGGTAAAATTGAATGTTGATTTATACAGAGAGGAACTATTGAAGGGTACTTCTTGGACTGCTACAGATCCTCTCTGTCCTCAACCAGGAAAAGTTGGCTACCCATTATAGAGACAAGAAATCTGTCTCCAAGTGCTTGCTATGCCCTTTGGATTCCTTATCCAGAATTAAGAGACAAAGAATAATGTTAATTATAACATTTATTCCCAATAATATCTCATAATTTATTCACAGACAGTAAGTAAAACATTTCGGAATACTCTTTTCAGGGACCTTTTCACTTCCTTGTTCCTTAAGGAATAGATTAACGAGTTCAGCATGGGTGAGACAATATTATTTAATATTTGCACCATGGCACCAAGCAAGGGGTAGGGTGTGGACTTCAGATAGATGATGATTACAGGTCCATAGGCACAGAGGATTGCAATGAGGTGAGCACTGCAGGTGGAGAAGGCTTTCTGCCTGCCCTCTGCTGAACGGATTCTCAATATGGTAATCCCAGTGAGAGTGTAGCAGACACAGATACTGATCAAAAGTGTTAAAGCCAGAAAGCCAACATTTATGGAACCCACCCTCTGGGCCAGGGCACTGTCAGTGCAAGCCAGGGGTAAAACAGCAGGAATGTCACAGAAGTAGTCCACCTGATTGGGGCCACAGTAGGACAACTGAAAGGTAAAGGAGGTCAGAATGGTGGCATGAAGACAACCCACCAACCCGGCTACCACGACCAGGCTGACACAGACTCCAGGCTTCATGATGAGCATATACCTCAGTGGGTGACATATGGCAACAAAGCGATCACAGGACATTACAGAATAGAGGCAGCCTTCAGCAGAACCCAATAAGTGATAGAAGTAGAGCTGTGAAGCACATCCCTTGTAAGAAATGACTGGGCTCTGGCCAGAGAGATACAATAGCATCTTGGGACATGTTACAGATGGGAACAATATGTCAAAAATAGACAGGAGTCCCAAGAAGAAATACATAGGCATGTGAAGGGTAGAGGAAGAAACAATTGCTACAAGGATGAGTAAGTTTCCAAGTAGGTTGAAGAGGTAGATGAATGAGAAGACAGCACAGCGTACAGCCTCCAGTCCCTCTGTCTGAGGTATTCCCCGTAGAATGAACTCATTCAGCAATGTGTGATTCTTCATGTTCATGGAAGGGTAGTCTGGGTTTTCACAAAATATGTGAAAATATGAATGTGGAGGCAGATTGGGATAAGTACAATACCAATACATTCATTGGCACCAATTTTTGTTTAAACATTAAGTTGATGTTGAAATTAAGAATTAGAGATTCTTCCGCAGACATTTAGGGATTAGTAAAGCATGCATATGCCTTCACATCTTGAGATATATTTGTTCGTGATTATAGACAGCAAACAAAATGAAACATTAATATGGTGAAATGTTGGATGGGCTAAGAGAACAGAGAACATAATTAATGTCCGCAACTAATGATACAATAATGAATGCCCTAAAAAGACCAACTCGTAAGTCAGATCCTCCTGATTCCTCTTCACAATATTTCTACAGTTACTCGAAGATGTGATCAGATGCCCTAATTATTCACCAAAAGTCAATTTTGTCATTGACATTTCTAATAAGAATGATGGACTGAGATACAATGCAATGAGCATTAAGATTTGAATTGTGTTAATATCATTCTAATTACAGATAAAGTTTTTAGTTTTTTAGTTTTGGCACATTCTTATTTGGAAATATTCATTTGTCTGAAAAGACACTAGCAGTGACTAATTTTGTTGTTACTCTAGGGTTTTAAATTGCTTAGAGATTAGCAGCTGAGATGTATTATCATATCCTAGTTTTAGGTTTGAGTGAAGTCACATCATATATAAAGACGCAGATATGAAATATTTCATCTTTGCTAACAATTGGAATTTTTGAATCCTTAGAATAATGAAACTAAAATATTTCAATTCTGAAGTTTTTGTGTGTTTTTGTCTTTTAAAATTTTTTTATGATTTTGTTGTGTAAGAGCACTTAACATGAGAGGTACTCTCTTACCAGATTTTCAGTATAGAATACAATACAATATTATTATTAACAATATAGGGACAATATTGTACAACAGATCTCTAGACTCATCTTGCATTACTAAAACTTTAGAGTCATTGATTAGTAACTCTCCATTTTCCTCTCTTCCCTGCCCATGACAACCATCATTTTGCTCACTGCTTCTATGAATTTGACTGTTTTATTTTAAGGGAAAGAGTTAACTGTATATGCTGAGAACATGTAACTGCCGCTGGGGTATGACAATGCTTGAATATAAAGGCTCTTGTGAATCATTCAAGAAGGATATTTTCATTTCCAGTTTTTACTTTTTTGATGTATTTATTTTTGATACTCCCAAATATGAAAACTAATAATTGCCCTTATTTCCACTTACAATTCCTGGTCAATTTCTCTGATTCTCTTTATAAGTAATAGTTATTGATTGATAATTTTAGCCTCTAAAAATATGGAAGTGGTAAGATAGATGAATATAATCCACATATACACAGGAAATACTGAAGGAATGTAGTTCAGGTTCTGTTAGACTGTTAGATCCCTGAAAGTAGTGGCTATAATTTGTCATTGAATCTGCAGCACGTACCATAGTACTTCTGAATAGCTGGAATTTAAATATTTGTTAGAGGAATGAATGAATGAAAAGTTGGAAATGAATTTATGGATATTATCTGACTGTGAGTTCTATGAAGAGACCATGTTTATTCTTGCTCATCATTGTATCACTAGGATTTAAGAAATAGCAGCATCCAACAAGTGTGTTTATTTCGATCAACTTTTTAAATTCTCTAGAATTATTCCTTTGGTCCTTCAACTATTTTAAGTCTTTTTTCTTAACCCCAGCCAACAATGGTTGTAGTCAGCCTACTTTAGGCTTCAGATACCATGCCTAGTAAAAGGAATTTAGATATTCATTGAAATGTAGAGTACCTAATTGCTGAGCTAGGAGAGAGAGGATGAGCTTTGAATATCTTCAAAATTGCTGTAACTCATAATTACCTCTTGCTGGAGGAGAGTTAAGGAAGGCAAATGGACCTTTCTGAAGAGAAGGAAAAGAACAAAATTATGATTAGTGGAAAGTTCTGTCACAGCAACAACTAAAGAATGTGAAAAGGAATTATTGTAAAAAATATCTTAAATAGGACAAAATTATTCACACAATCTTAGGTACCAGATTTAGATCACATGTCTTAGATCATGTGATAATCAAACCTGGAAAAGTGTTATCACAAGATCTTAATGAAATTGATGTACTCTATTATTGTCTTAAGGCCTCAAGTCTATAGAGATTCTGTTTATTGTATCGAGTTCTTTGAATTTTGGGGTCCTTTGGGGTTTCTTGTTGGGGGAAAGCTACTATTCTTCATTCTCCCCAGTATCCCAACTCCCCACCCCAGGATCCTTTCGTCTGCTTTCTCTGGGGGATCATCTGGACCTGAAATGAGTTTGTATGTTTGCCTTAGTTGTTAAAGAACAAGTGCATGGCCACTGGGTGGCCTCCAAGATCCGGATTAGTCATCTCTTCACGTAGGTATCTTGGGAGGTTTCTGAACAATTTCAGTTAGGCTTAATGAACAGAGGGCAAATAGAGTTAACTGCTGTGTAGTTATTTTAACATATTCCTAGAAAAAGAGGTTTAATAACTCAGTACAGAAAACTGGAGTGTACTATGTGACTTTTAAACTAAGAAAATGTAGGGGATAAATGACAAAAGTAGTTAGATGTTGGAAATCAAGATCCAGTGAATGGAAAAATATTGCCAAAATGTGGGATGTTCTTATATTGTGCTTGGTATATAGTGAGTATCCACTAATGTTTGTTTTTGACGAACTGAGATAATACTTACCTCACACAATTGTGTAAGGATTACATATGATGATATTCCTGACATAACCTTGAAAAAGATAGAGAATTCTATTGTTCTCTGCTTGGATGAGAGGAGCCAATAAGGGAAGACAAGATTTTAAGCCTGGCAGATTTTGTTTAACATCTAGGCTCTTACTTACTAATTCTGTGACTCTGCCGTGCCTTCAATTTGCTTATCTTTAAAATAAGGATAGTATTACATTCTATGACAAATGATGACATGAACTCAGAGTAGTTAAATTGCTTTCTCATGATTATACAACTATTAAGTACTAGAGGTAGGAATTAAGCCCCAGACTGAATCTGAAGCTCACAGACTCAATTCTGTGACAGAGCCAAGTTGATCCTGATAAATTAGAACCTGGTTTCTTGTTTTCTCTACAATTTTCTGAACCTCTGGATGAGCAACGTATGTTCTTTACAAGCCCTCATAGATTTTTAGACCCTTGAGCTGCATCCTGCCTATCTCCTTTGGCATTTATCTATGCTTTGGGTTTGTCAGGAGCATATTTGCTTGTAATCAATGAAAATTGCTCCTCTTAAGCAATGGTCACCATTATCCAAGAAATTTCTGACAAACAACTAAGTGATTTGTGATGACACGGCTTTATTCCTGTCTGTAATTAATGTAATTTGACATACTATGTAAAATAATTAGCACTGGTTTCAAGTAGGAACTCAATACATAGTACTATACATATTTGTAAATCCACCCTACCTATCCATTCATTTATAAGTTTCTGCTGAGCCCAGGTTGTATGTGATATCTTCAAACATGAAATTTCCAAGTTATCAGTGATCTTATGAAAATTATACCTATTATTATAATTGTTATCACCAATATGTAATAAATGCTTATAAGATTTGTGCACATGTCTGAGCATTTGTTATTTGATCTTTTGAAATCTATTCTCCAATATCGATAGTAGATTGCAATTACAAGGCCTAAGCGTATATTCAACCACCGGAATTTATACGTATTTATAAATTAATCAAATAACTTCATGCATTTTAAGAACTTATTTTCTTAAAGGTTTACAATTTTAAGAGCACATAAAGGGCTCAGGTTTGATAAGAACAGCAGGAAGTTTTAGATGAATTGCTATGGAAACATCAGAGGAGAGACAACAAGCAGAACCGTACACTTAAAACTCTCCGTGATGATAAAGATATAGAACATCGAAGAAAGAGAATAACAGAAATGAGACAATGAGCAAAACAGTTTATTGAAAGCCTGTTCTGAACCAGAACAGAGTGTCATAGAGTGCTAAGAACTCTATGACAGCCTTTTTATTTCAGGAAGGGAAATGGCTCTCAGAAGAAGTAAAGAAAAATAAATAGCAAACTATGATAAACATAATCAACACACACCAGCATAATTCAGGACACATGTGTTACAGTGGTGGGTGCTAAAGTAAATTGGATATTGTTCTCATAATATACAGATTTCTATTTCCATTATAAGCAAATGTGCTTTTCATATTCCGAAGAAGACGGTTTCCTTAAAAGCCTACTTTTTAATTAATCATAATTAAATGTATTAGGGTAGGATAAGGACCCAAAGGGCTGTAATAAACCATGGAGAAATTCATTACTTTATCCTGTAAAATTCTGTGAAGATATGGTGACTTGCTCTATGAGAGTGTCAGGGACTCAGGATCTTTCTATCTTGTTGCTTCTCCAGTTTTAGGGGAAATACTCTAGGCTTTATGGTCTAGTCTTTATGGTTCAAGCTGGCTCAGGATATACCTGCATTCACACCAGTGAGCAGGAAGAGGGTAAAGTGAATGGGAGGCCATCCTCTTTTCTTTGAAAGGGCATGACATGGTGTTGCAATTATTTCTTGTACCCTATTGGCCAGAGCTTAGTTACAAGGCCATACCAGCTTTAAGGGAGGCTGGGCAATGTTTTCATTCTGAATGGTCATAGACATTGTGAAACTTGGGGTTCCTATTAGTATAAAAAAGAAGGTGAGAATCAATCTTGAGGAATGCCTGGCAACACTAAGGCACAAGGACAGACTTTTAAGTGAAGATACCTCACCTATGTCGGTTTAATTGTGTATATTGTGCTCGGTTACGGGAATTTTCACATAGTTGTCTTTTCAACAACCAGCATCTTCTGTGTGTTTCCTGATTCAGTGCCCTCTAACCATGCTGCATGCCTGGTCTGTGGCAGACTTTTAGTGCTAAGCTCTAAGCCCAGCAGGATCAGATGATGAACTCTGCCCATGTTTCCAGCTCCTCCCTTTTGTTGCTCAGATGTTTCAGTCAATGGAAAGAAGGCACAGTCACAAGGAACAATACCAGACATGATTTCTCTCCAGAGAAAAGGATAATTTCCTCTCATAATTAGTTTAGTACATCTAAAAAACATGGTTGTAGGGCCCAGTACTGATAAAATAGAATTTTTACTTATGTTATGCTTTACTATATATGCATATATTACATGCATGTAACTGTATATACATGTGTGGTGTACATACATACACATATATACATCTATGCATGCACATGCATGTATATAAATGCGGGTGTGTGTGTGTATATATATATATAAAACTTTTATGGCCACTAAGATTCATTAGATCTCAAAAAAACAATCAGTAGAGGTATGTCATTATCCCCATGTTTCAGACGAGAGAACAAATAACTTGGGGAAAGTAACATATCCACAAAAAATACACCACAGAGACCAAAATCAAGCTGTGTTTTCCATATGTATCATGTATTCTTTCCCTATAGATTCTCTACAGCAATATGACACTTTAAGTCCCAGATTTAATAGGTTGTTTTGAAATAGAGAAGTCATGGGGACCTTGATAACTTCTAATGTGCTTTAGCCAGGTAAATGAGCATAGACATTCTCAGTTACTTACATTGTTAACCCAAACATTTGGTTTCAGGATCCCATAAGTGACCCATGACAGGAAGACTAGGGATTCCCTGGCTAGAGCGTCTCTCATTAGAGCAGATGTGTGTCCCTTGCACTATCTCCTTATCTTTCCCCGTGCTTTAGGGAAGGTGCAACTTGGGGAAAAATGACACATTAGAGATAAGGTGTCAATGATATAATGTCCATAAAGTTTTGATTAACAGGGCCCAGGACACAGCAAGCCCTTGGCAATTAAGCTTTTACAGAAATATGCAGTTTTTCATGTCATTGTTGATGTTGTTCCTGTTGCAGCATTTTCCCTTTCTCTCTTTGCCGGTTCTCTGATTGTTCCTTGGCAAAGAGCAAAAAAAAAAAGCAAACGTTCCAAAGTCGAAGACTTTTCCTTTGATACAAACAAGCGAAAGTTCGATTATTTGTTTAATAATTTTCCGTTGATCCCTTAGTCTTGTAGTCCCTACTTTATAAACGGTCCCTAGAAAGGGGCGGTTCTTTCCGGAAATTGTGACCGCAGCTGTTTTCACTCCGCTGTGACTCAGAGCACTCCGGATTGCAGGAGAAAAAGGTAGGGGACCAAGCTGTCGGTGCAGGGCCTGGCTCCATCCCCTGCTCTGGAAGACTGAGAGCTGCGCATTCTAGCTCCCTTTCCCCAGTGCCCAAATTTGTAGGGGCTCCTTGAACTGCACGCCCCACGGGTGGAGGATTTCATCCTGATGTATGAACCCCAGGAAGGTTTCCTGCAAGTTTGGTAGTTTAGGGAAATCTTTTGGAGGCTGAAGGAGGGATTTAGGCATCTCCTAATCTGAAGGCCCTTCTTCCTACTTTCCTTCTCTTTTACTTTACTTTTTCACCCCCTTTCTTTCTTTGATATACACAGTTGATGTTTTCTGAATTTCAAGGTAGTGTAAGCTGAGGAAATGAGGCTGTAAGCCTCCATCTACTCCAATCAACTGCAGCCTCTAAGCCCTTCTATATAGAAATGTAAGAGACTGACGCAGTCCCTTCTGTAAATACGTGGACATTGGAAATCTGGGACTGAAATGGAAAGGTTAAATCAATCTCTGATTTTATCCAAGCCCCACTTCTTACCCCAAATCTCCTTCTTGTCTGGTTCCGGGTTCTCCACTTCAACCCCTGCCACAGGTCGCAGGAGTGTGTGTGGCCGGTGGTGCCACCCAGCTCCGCTCCCTCCCTTCTAGCCGCTGAGCAGCCCCTGCTGGGACTGCATTCCCGAAGCGGCTACCTGGCTAGGCCAGAAGACTTGTATTCTCCCAGCTGCGTCAGATTCATGGCTTTCAGCTTGGTGGCCGGTCTCTACCTAAGCCTTGCAAGTTGCCTTTCTGAAGTGCCATCCTGAAAGACAGAACTAATTCTGACCCAAACTAATTTTGTTTGTACTCGGAAGAGTGGGGGCAAGGGTGCAGAATAGCAAGTTTTCCTCAACGGAGGATTTTTTTCTGAGCTTAGAATCAGGAAGTGAAGGCTATTTCCTTGTAGGGGACACCCTCTGCGTCTCTCTCTTTTACTCAAGCCACCGTTGGTGAGTATTGCCCAGCCTGAGAGCTTCTCTTTCAGCTGTTTCACTCCTGTGAGTCTCCTGCTTTAGGCTGTCTGCTTAATGAGTTATTGGAAATTCTTCCCTCCCCCAGCCCAGCCTGTTCTACCAGACAACTTGCCCAGGTCAGAGGTCTGCGTAGAAGCCCTTTTCTGAGCATCCTCTTCTCTCCTCACACCTGCCGCTGTCCTCTGCATTGCTGTCAAATTGTGAGTCATTTTGCCACACTCAGTTTTTATCCAATTTCTCAAAATAACAGATATGGAATGAAAAGCCTGATTTACTGGTGCTGTTTAGTTGGGGTGCCAATGTAGGCTATGTGCATATATAATATTTATATATATTAGAATATCTTGGATGGATACAAACAAATATACTGGTATCTTTTAATTTTGAGTCCCAAAGAAAAGCCACAAGATAAATGGCCTGTAGCAGGAGTCCATCTTGGATCACACAGCTTCTCACATGCAGCATGTCCCTGAATGCCATGATCCAAAGTGAATGACGGCAGAGGTTTATTGATTAACAGTTACAACAATAATAGGGGCAATAGTGATGTCTGTCATCATTGAATAAATGCCTCCTATGGGCCATGTGCTATTCTAGGAACTTCACATGTATTAATTCATATATGATGTGTGGATATGATGCTACTCATTTTAGAAAGAAAATACTGAGACTCGGAGGGGTTAGTGACACCTGTTCCATATGCCTAAGGAGTGGTGAATTAAACACACTTTTGAGAAAGTGGAATTGGTATTTGAAACAGCCTCAGGGTGTTTCAGAGATTTCCTGTTTAGTAGATACCAGTGAATCTTATACCTTCCCCACCTAGAACTTCCATTTAAAGGGAGCCTTTTGATGGAAATCTTTGTCTCCTTTTTTTAAAGGTTCCAACTTCCTAACTCCAACATTAACCCTTTGACTGTAATCTTATGCCAGAAAAAAGCACATAAAGTACTGGTGTTTGAACAGATAACTTCCAACATGTCTCCCTGTTTGTGATATGTCTTTTCTGCAGAAATCTTGCATCACCATGGTGCACTTCTATGGCCTACTCACCCTCCAACGGGAGCCAGGTAAGCTTACTTTGTGACTCTTACTCGCCATTGAATCTTCGGCACTTAGCACAAGGCTTGATCTACAAGGAAGCATCCTACTGAAGCTTGATGAACTTGAATTCTGGTCTATCTACAGTGCCACTGAAGAGTATCTCTGTGAGCGTGTCCATTTACGAGTTTGTGGCTGATGTGTCTGCAACTTTGAACTATGAGAACGCGGAGAAAGTTCCTTTGGAGGCCGTCTTTCTGTTCCCCATGGATGAAGACTCTGCTGTTTACAGCTTTGAGGCCTTGGTGGATGGGAAGAAAATTGTAGCAGAATTACAAGACAAGATGAAGGTAGTAGAAATTACCTCCTCCCTTCTTATTACATTACCTCCTCCCTTCTTATTTCCTTAATGCATACTCTTTATGATCTCTACTAAATATACTTTCACAAAACATGCTGATGTTGAAAGCTCTTTCTTCCACTCTTTTCTAACCGCCATTTTTCTAAAATCATTTGGGGGGAAAAATCAATCAGAGGCATTCAAAGTATAGCTGTGATTAGACAAGACCAATCACAGTCACTCTGCACTACTCGTCTCTTTTTCAGCCATGTCACCTTGGATGTTCCCTTTCTTTCCCATCCCTCGCCCTGTTCTTCTCAGGCCCGCACCAACTACGAGAAAGCCATCTCCCAGGGCCACCAGGCCTTCTTATTGGAGGAGGACAGCAGCTCCAGGGATATCTTCTCTTGCAATGTGGGTAACCTCCAACCTGGGTCGAAGGCCTCAGTCACCCTGAAGTATGTGCAGGAGCTGCCTCTGGAAACAGATGGGGCTCTGCGCTTTGTCCTCCCAGCTGTCCTGAATCCTAGATACCAATTCTCTGGTGAGTATCTCTCCCCTTTGAATACTAGTGGTGGGTGACATAAATGGGGAAATTTTCTTAAGGTTGAGAGTGTCTTAAAAAGTGTTGGCAAGGAAACAGAACTAGTTCACTTTTTATAGGGTCGTCGAAGGACAGTTGCCTTAATGTGAAGACTCCTATAGTCCCTGTGGAGGACCTGCCCTACACACTCAGCATGGTCGCCACCATAGATTCCAAGCATGGCATTGAGAAGGTCCAATCCAACTGCCCCTTGAGTCCCACTGAGTACCTAGGAGAAGACAAGGCTTCCGCTCAGGTAGTTAATGAGAGAATACTGCTGTTGTCAGTTCCTCTGTTGCTTGAGTCTTGACTTAGTCCCCACCCAGTTCTTCCCAAATGATAACCCAGAGGGGGTCCCACATGCTCCTTCCATATCCTCGTTTAATCTCCAGAGCCTTCTCTCCAGCCTCACCTCTGTTCCTGGTCATGTCTCTCATGGAGGAGGACTGTAGCCCTGACCTCAGCCCCAAGTAGCAAGCAGTGATGATTCTAATGTGGCTCCTTTACCTGTCCCCAACTCAGGTTTCCCTGGCTGCTGGACACAAGTTTGATCGGGACGTGGAACTCCTGATTTACTACAGTGAGGTGCATACCCCCAGCGTGGTTTTGGAGATGGGGATGCCTAAAATGAAGCCAGGTATTTTCTTTCTTCCTTTGTAGTAATCCTCTAAGGGGCACCTCCCTGTCTTAGAATTACTGTCAAATTACTCTCTTTTCTTTCCTTCCCTCCAGTGGTGGTTAATACGTGTGAAAACTGAAATAGTTTACACTATGTCATGCCAAAATGGTTAGGTTTAATGACTGTCATGTGATACGTCTTGTAGGCAAATTTAAGTAGATCAGTAGATAATTGGGCAAAAGCCAGGAACAGATAATTTACAAGAGAAAACATGGCCAGTTTATAAACATGTGGCAATGATCAGTATTGACAGAAATCCAAATAATCATGTGACATTTTCACCTTTCAAATTATCAATGATTTCCAAATCTGATGCTTCATGCTTTAAAACGTGTGGTGAATTAACCTTTTGAGGATAAATTTGGCCATATATGTTAAATAAATGTTAACTTTCATAATTTCACGTTTAGAAATCTTGCCTAAGGAAATAAATCTAGATATAAGTAAAAATATGCATTGAGATGTTCCCCACCATTTTAATAATATCAAGTATTAGTAAGCAATCAAAATGTCTCTTAGTGGCTAAATTTCCTATGCTAGGTATACTTCATGAGTTATTATGCCGCTCCTAAAATAATGTACACTGACAGATTGAAGTAATTGGAAAAATGACCTCCAAAGAATGTTAAGTAAAAGAAAAGTAAGTTATAGACAGATTACCACTATAAAATAATCTGTGCTTTAGGAAAAACATTTTAAAACACGGGAAGAATGCAAGCAGTAATTGTGATTAGATTGACTAAGTTTAGTTCTTAATTTCTTTTTTATCTAATAAATAATTTTTATTGATTGATTCATCACAGCTACATGCAGTCTCAACTGACGTTTTTTTCTCTCTTTTTTGAAATAAAATATACATAACAAAATTGACCATTTTAACTATTTTTAAGTGTACAATTCTGTGGTCTTCAGGACATTCACTTTGTACAACCATCACCACCCTTCATCTCCAAAACTTTTTGTTTTGCCCCAGCTTTTTAATTCCTAAGACTAAGTTTAGCTTCTTAATAACTTTAGTTTCTTGTTTTCTTTTAATGTTTCTTGCTTTTGAAATTTTCCTTTATGTATACACACTCTTTCTTGGAATTTAAATTGGTATAACCCATGTCAGTTTGCTGTGTTCTTGGGGGCTTCCTGGGCTGCCATGCTCCTGGGTTTCAATGACGCAGGACTGGAGTGCTATTGCGACTTCTGAAGCATTTACACGTGGTGGAATGGACATGTCCTTGGTGACAATCATATTGAAAGTGAGATGACTTGAGTTAGGCTCTTGCTTTTATAATTATAACTGTTATCAAGAAAATACCCTATAGTTGTTTTTCTGCAGAGTACCCTACTCTCTCATTGTTAATGTTTGCTTCCAAAGTAGCTTCATACTTGAGCTCACAAATTGAACTTTTTAGTTTTCCCTCACTTGTTCAACCACTCTTCCTCAGGGCCAGCTCTCCATGCTAAGGTCATTCAAGGGGCTCCCAGTTTCCACCAGATTTGCTGTAACCAGCTCCTCTTCCATGAAGCTCCATGCTCTGTCTCTGTACATTAGTGTTCTGCTTTTTCCTTTCCTTATGGTGACTGTTTCCTTGGGTGTCCATGAAATACTCCCACAACAGTGACCTACTTGTCAGTTAAGATTATTTTAAAGGACTGTCTTCACCAGAGAAAGTTCCATGACGTTGGATCTCAAAAGGTAAGCATTGAGATCTCAGTCCCTGTTTTTCTAAGAAGTTCCCTTGGTCCCTATGTAGATTTTCTCATCTAGTCCCCATGACCAGTTCTGAAGGCCAAGGGGGGACATCAGGGACAGTCTTTACAGTCTTGTGAATCCCTTCCAGCAGGACTGCTCAAGTTTTGCTTCCCAGGTCATATATTTAGTCAAAACGACTTGCTGTTCTCATCCACACAAGGAAGCAAATGACAACTTTAAGCGGCAGCTTGGCTCACTAAAACCATTTAGAGTTCTGCCAAATGAAACCTACAGCTATATGACAAAAACACAGTATGTTATTTTTTTACAAACTTAGAACAGATGTACTTACGATATTAAGAACATAATGTCTTTCTAAAATTAAATTTATAATTTAATTTTAAAAGTGTGTAAAAATACAATTTAGAAATAATTTAATAATATTGTTATTACGGGTTTAATCTGAGTTGAGCCCTAAACTGAGTTCCTTAAGTATATTATATTACTTAACTCTTAAAATCAAGCTTGTTCAACTCAGAGTCTGGGGGCCGCACGGGGCCCAGGACAGCTTTGAATGGAGCCCAACACAGATCTGTAAACTTTCTTAAAACATTATGAAATTATTTTGTGATTTTTTTTAAGCTCATCAGCTATATTTAGTGTTAGTGTATTTTATGTGTGGCCCAAGACAATTATTCTTCTTCTTATATGGCCCAGGGAAGCCAAAAGATTGGATACCCCTGCTTAAAATAATCTTGACGTAGGTGGTACTACCTTGGTTTTTCAGAGGAAGACATGAGGCTAGAGGAAGACATGAGGCTAGCAAGCAGAGGAGCTGAAGTTTGAAATGCCTCATTTGAAAACAAAGAAACTGAGACTCATGGAGGTGAAAATAATTTGAGCCAGGCTAAAATTATAGTAGATAATCCACATATAACGCTTACAATTCATCTGGCATTGTTGTAAACAGGTTAAATGTGTTACCCCATATCATACTCATGCCACCCTTTCTGACTCCTCAGTATAGCACCAGCTCCATTTAAAACAGCTGTCTCTGAGAATGGAAAGGAACCTTGCTCACCAAAAAAGCTCCTCCTCTGTCATATATCCAGACATCTGGATTGTATAAATGTTATTTTTGAACCAGTGTCCTATCATATATTTGATGGGCAACATCCATCTTATTCAGAAGCCAGTTTGGTGATTGACATATCCTATGGGAAAGAAATTAAACTGAGCCACATTCTCTTGTCATACCAAATCCCGGGTCTACTGAGAATATAAACCTATGATCCTGGAACCACTTTGTAAAAACGGGATAATGGAATTTAATTATATAGCCTCTTATATTTTCTGTAAAGTTGGAGTTAACCCAGCCATTCTCATTGCATCACTATCTCAATACTAGCATTTCAGTTCCTGTATCAGCCCTCACTTGCTTCTAAAAATAGTCACAGCTATGGCTTTGACAATGTGGCCAGATAGACTGGGATCCTGTGGTCACCCCCACACCATTGTTCGGATGATGCTCATAGAATCCAACACGTATCTCACGTATTCCCTTTCTTCTGGGGACTATCAGCGAGTTATTCATAGCCAAAGCAGACAGACTTACCTCAGTGGGTGTAATACTTATACTCTCAACTCTTGTAAATTGTCAACTGAAAAATTGTCCATGTGAGTATCACTTTTTTCAAAGCTGTAATTAAAGACTTAAGGCCCATGTGATACATTTCCTGTTTATTTGATTTGAAGAAAAGGTTTGATTCTGTAGATAAACTTGTCTGATTCTTTTGGCAAATGCTGGAACATTTTAACCTAATGTGTTTCATTCATTTGCCTAGCTGCCAGGAAACTGGTAATCAGTGATAATGTTTTAACTATTGCTTGTGTCTACTAACTTCTATCCTCTTTCTTCTTTTTCATATTTGTTCTGCTTTTGTCTGTCTTATATATTTATAACTCACCTCGACCCCGTTGCAAGCAGTTATGGTATACGAATCATCATAGTGTTTTAGATTTCAGTTTTCTTAGCTCTTAATTGAATTCACTACCATTGATTCTTAGGTACTAGGATTCTTGAGTTCCTTTTTGTCTTACAATGGCTGTATCCTTTCTGAACAGGTCGTTTGATGGGAGATCCATCCGCAATGGTGAGTTTCTATCCAAATATCCCGGAAGATCAACCATCAAATACCTGTGGAGAGTTTGTCTTCCTCATGGACCGCTCAGGAAGTATGCAGAGCCCCATGAGTAGCCAGGATACATCTCAGCTGCGCATCCAGGCAGCCAAGGTAAAGCTTCTTTCCTCTTCTGGGTCACATGCTCAAGTGAGGATGAATCTGAGGGGTTAAATTAGGGTCTATCTGGAGCCTGAGACAGCAGCATGACGACCCCGAGGTTAGCTTTGGAATGTAAGAAGGCACAAGGTGGGTGATGGCCTACATCCTCCAGAGTCGATTGGCAGGGCCCGTGTGTTTTGACGAGCCTCTCTCGCTCTGTCTCCTCATGCTCTCTTACCTTCAGGAAACACTGATTTTGCTGCTGAAGAGTTTACCTATGGGCTGTTATTTCAACATCTATGGATTTGGCTCTTCCTATGAGGCATACTTTCCGTAAGTTTCTGGAAAGACAATAGGGAGTACAGAATGAGACTTTAAAGAAAGCGACTAAATTGTTAAAGGGGTTACTGCGGAGTTGACTTTGGCATTGGGGGTTTCGGATAAGACTGTCTTTTCATGGGGGTTTTTCAATTCAGTTCAGGGACTCTATACTGGGCAAAGTTAAGTAGCCCTCATGTAACTGGGTGTGTTTGTTTTTCTCAGGAAGAGTGTGAAGTACACTCAGCAAACAATGGAGGAGGCTCTGGGGAGAGTTAAGCTTATGCAGGCCGACCTAGGGGGCACTGAAATCTTGGCACCACTCCAGAACATTTACAGAGGACCCTCCATCCCAGGCCACCCCCTACAGGTAAGAAGTGGAACAGAGCTCACAGAAGAGACTGCAAATGTGAAATCCCTAAGAATCTGTGCCCCTGAGCTTCATGCAGTGTGTTGAAATATGGTTTGTAATTCACAGTCTTCTATCATATAGTAAATAGGAAAAAAAAGACGATGCATTTTTCTTCTTCCTTAACTCCATGCAATGGACACTGGAAGGCCTTTTATGGAGTGCCACAATAACTTAGATGCAGCTAGGAGGGGAGATGCTAAAAATTCCCTGGGTTCTGAACAGATCATGTGCGAATGTGGTGCTAGCGACTGAAACGTTAGGGATTTCATGCCTCTTTGAAGAGGTACCAGAGCCTCTGCAATGAAATAGGTGGATTTTTCAAGGGCAAATTCTGGTTTCTTAAAATGAACTTGACAAAGACCTGATGAACATTTTCTTTCTTTGTACAGCTTTTTGTCTTTACAGATGGAGAAGTTACAGACACGTTTAGTGTAATTAAAGAAGTTAGGATCAACAGACAGAAACACAGGTATGAAGAAAATGTGATTTCTGGGTAATTGGAGCTAAGTAGTGGCATACAGACTGTAGTGCTACATGATGCCACTGTTGACATTCCTTAAAGAGGACCAAATGATTTCAGAATTTAGTTTTAGCAGCTGAAAATTTATTTTTTCCTATAAAAATTAAAAACAGTTTTCCAAATAACATCAACAACACAGCAAAACCATTGTTTCTTATTCTTTCTAAACTACAATGGACACGAGAATTGAATAGTAAGATGTTAATTTTTTTTTTTACTATAAACATTTTTAGGGAAGTAAAACATGCAGAAAACTACAAAAATTATAAGTATACAACTGGATAAATTATCACAGTGAATGCACTGTGTCATCACCACATAGGTAAAACCTGGAATGGTAGTAGGCCTCTCCATCTGTACCCTTTTCCATCATGTCCTATTCCCTGTCACTACACACTAAAACTTTCCTGACTTACAACATCATGGGTTATTTGTGCTTGTTTTTGAGTGAAAATAAATGAGTTATACAATATGTTTTTGTTTCTGTGTATATTGTTTCTTTTCTTTCAGCAATATGTTGAGAAATTCATATATACTTTAAGTATAGCCATAGTTAATTTTCACTGATGTATGGTATTCCATAAAATGACTATACCATAATTTATCTATTGATTTTAATGCTGTAGGACTTTGATTTGGCTGTTAAAAATGATGCTGCTGTGAACAGTTTTGTATTCTTGTACATTATTGTTTTGCACACGCGTGTATATGCATACATACATATTTATATACGTAGATTTTTCTCTGAGTAGAGAAGAGTTGTGGAGTTTCTAGGGAACGCCAAACATTTTTCCAAATGGTTGTACTAATTTAATTATTTATTGTAGGAGTGTTCCAATCGCCTCATTTCCTATCCAAAACATGATATTGTCTTTAAACTTTAGTTTTGTGTGTGTGTCGTGGTGTCTTATTATAGTTTTAATTTACATTTTCCTGCCGATGAATGAAGTTTAGCACTACTTCATATTTGTTCACCAGTTGTATGTCCTCTTTCATGATGTGTTTTCAAGTCTTTTTCCTGTTACTTATTTATTCCTATTAGGTTGATTTTCTTATTGATCTATAGTTCATTCTGTAGTCTGGATACAAGCTCTTTGTTGATTGTATGTTCTAGAAATACTCTATAGTTTGCTCTTAGCTTCAAAATGTATTCAAGTAATAGTTGTTAATTTTAATGTAGTTCGATACTTTCTAATCTTTTCCCTTATGGTTAGTGTTTTCTGTGTCCTGTTAAAAAGTCTTTCCCTATCCAAGGTTTTGTATTTTTGTAATGTGGATATCAAATTGACCCTATTCCATTTATGGAAATGTTGGTCCTTTCCACAGTGTCATCTCTGTCATCAATAAGCATCTATGCACATGTACATTGTTTCTGGATCCTCTGTTCCATTGCATTGGTCTATTCATCTAGATGTGTGCTAGAACTACACCATATAAATTAGTACAGGTTCATGATAAATCTTGATTTCCAATAGTGATAAGCCCTCAGTTTTGTTCATTTCATAACCAAGACTGTCTTGGTTACACTTGACTGTTAGTAATTGTATTTTAGCATTAGCTTGTCGGTTTTTACCAGAAAAGGAAACGTATTGGTATATGGGCCAGAATTGCATTGACTAGATCTATTTAAGCAATATTGAGCATTCCAATCTATTCACATAGTATATCCTTTCATTCACTTTGGTCTCTGATTTCTCGAAGTGTTTGTTTCCAACATTTTATTAAGAAACCTTAAACATATAGAGGTGTTGCAAAAATAGAACAATGGAGAACAATGGCATGGGCTGGCCGCAGTGATTCGTGCCTGTAATCCCAGCACTTTGGGAGGCCGAGGCGGGCAGACCACGAGGTCAGGAGTTTGAGACCAGCCTGGCCAACATGGTGAAACCCTATCTCTACTAAAAATACAAAAATTAGCCAGGGCATGGTAGTGTGTGCCTGTAATCCCAGCTACTCAGGAGGCTGAAGCGGGAGAATTGCTTGAACCCGGGAGATGGAGGTTGCAGTGAGCTGAGATCGCACCACTGCACTCCAGCCTGGGTGACAGAGCGAGAATCCATCTTGAAAAAAAAAAAAAAGTACAATGGACACCATATACCCTTCACCTGGGTCTACCAGTTGTCAACCTTTTACCACATTTGTTTCAGCTATGTTTTTTGTCTATACATACATACCTATGATAAAATTTGACTTATAAATTACACACAGGAAGAGATTAGCAATAACTAATAATAAAATGAACAGTTAAGTAAAATAAAGGTCACTTGAGCATAAGTACTGCAATACCACATGTATCTGTCTGTTACCTGAGACTGCTGCTAAGTGACTAACGGTCATATAGACAGCATGGAGACACTGGACATAGAGGATTCATGTCCAGGGTGGCATTGGGCAGCATGGCACAATATTTCATCATACGACTCAGAATGGGATACAATTTAAAATGTATGAATTGTCTATTTTGGGAATTTTTTATTTAATATGCTTGGACTGCAGTGGACCGCAGGTAACTGAAACTATAGAATATAAAACTGCAGATAAGGGAAGCCTGTACACACAAAATCTCTCTGTAATATTTTATAATTCTCTGTGTAGAGGGCTTCGTGCATTTTTTTATTAAATTGTTTCCCTAGGTGTTTGATGCTATTTTAAATAGTATTTTTTAATAATTTTATTTACTGGTTGTTTATTTCTATTTAGAAATGAATTTCTATAGCTTGTTTTACCTTGACTTGTATTTAATGATGTTAATTAATTTAGATATTAATTAAATTATATTTTAATTTAAGAGTCTGCAAATATAATATATTTGCAGGCTCTTTTAGATATTCCATGAAGAATCACATTTGCAAAAAATATCAGTTTTATTTTTCGTATTTTTAAAAATATTCTCTTTTTCTTATTTTTTTTAAATTTTTTCTTCCCTTCTGGATTAGCCTGGAGAGAACCTCTAGTAGAAATCTGAATCAAAATGATCATATCCTTATTTCATTTTGGACTTCAACGGGAACATTTCAACTTTGCACAATTAAGTATGGTGTTTGCCATAAGGGTTTTTTGTTTTTTGGTTTTTTTTGTAGTTATCCTTTCTACGATTAAGGAAATTCCCTTTTATTTCTGTTTTGAGGGTTCTTTTCTCTCTTTTCTTTTGTTTTGAATAATGAATGATTGTTGAATTTCACCAAATGTATTTTATGTATCTGTTTAGATTAATGTATGATTTTATCCTTTCTTCTTTTAAAGTCTGAATTCTAATGATAATTCTTAAATGTTAGACCAACCTTGAATTTCTGGAATAAACCCAAAGTAGTTGTGATATATTAATCTCTTTCATATATTTTTTGATTCCTTTGGATAATACATTTTTTAGGAGTTTGAATCTATTTTCGTGGGAAATATTGACATATATTGTCTTATCTTGTCAGGTTTTGATATCAATTTTATGCTAGTATCATGAAATGAGCTGTGAAGGTTGCCTTTTTTCCTTGCTCCAAAAGATTTTCTTTCATAACTATTTATTATAATTTGCCAGCAAAGCTCTCTTGGCCTGGATTTTTTTTTGAGAAAGTATTTGTTTTGAACTATTCATATTTTATGTGTTATTTTTTATAAAAGTTTGTATATTTTACTGAACTTATTTGCATTAAATTGTCTATTATATTGCCTAATAATATTATTAAATTTTGTAGAATATGTAGTGATATTACCTTTTCTTTTCTAATGTTGGTTATTTGTGCCTTTTCTATTAATATTTCTTTCCTTGCACTGGATATTTATCAGTTTTAATAATAATTTCAAAACACCAGCACCTTTGTGTTTGTTGGTACTTTCTATCATATAAGTGTTTTCTATTTCATTAATATCTACTCCTATATATCTTTATTATTTTCTTTCTTTTACATTCCTTGGGTTTATTGGCCATCCTTTTTTAACATCTTGAGAAAGATGCTTGATAGTTGAGTTTTAGACTTTCTTTTCTAATTGCATATTCAGAGCCATAGATCTAAGCACATCTGTAGCTGAATTTTAAATGTGGATATGCCATTTGCCATTGTCATCCACTTAAGAATATTTTCCAATTATCATTATGATTTTTAAGCTTGTATAATTTATAAGTACAGTGCCTAATTTCCCAATATTTGAGGATTTTCTATTTTTGTTAGTTGTCAAATAAAAAATTATAGAAATTAGATGATCCTCTAGATGACATCTTCCCTCTGAGAGGATGCATTCTTTTCATTCTTTGCTTCTGAATGGTCACTGGATAGACTGGGAACAGATAATCTTAATCCAGTGAGGGTCTGATGAACTTCAGGCACGGTGATGGCTGGTCTATTTCGGATTCACCTCTACCTCTGGGATGTAGTCCTTTAGGGTTGTATCTTCAGTTCTTAGGTGTTTACAAGAACACCTTTGCTATGAAAAGCGCGAATTGCTATTTTGTTCCTCCCGCCTGCGTGTAACCGCTTGGGTTTTGAGTCATCTGTCTTTGTACTTGGCACTTGCTTCGAAGGGTCAAGGAACATCAGGTGCTGGGCTCATTTCTCTTGGCTTCTCTCCTCTCCCAGGTCTTGGCCCATAGATTTTTGTCTTGGTAGACCTTTGATGTTTTCAAACAAGTTGTTGTAAATATTGTATACGGCTTTCCTAGTTCTCTGCTGGCCTGAAACAATTTACAGTGGCATTGCTGTGAGCAGAACTTTCCTAGGGTGTTATATTTTAAGTCAGAAGTCATTGATTTAAGTTACAGTTCTTCTGCTTGCCTGCAGAACATAAATCAACTAATCTCTCTATGCCTTAGTTTCCTCACATGAAAATTAGGATCCTAATAGTACTCACTTTACAGATGTATTGTTATGGTTAAAAGAGTATACCTAGGGAATGTATTAGGAACTGCGCTAGATAAAAAGTAAGTGCTATATAAACTTTTGCTATTATTGTAATATTTTGATTTTTATTATCATCCACATGTAGCACTGTCGTGAGTTCTAGTCAGTCATCAATTTTTTGTTGTTTGATTGTTTAGAGATAGGGTCTGTCACTTTGTTGCCTAGGCTGCTCTTGAACTCTTGGCACTGGCCTCCCAAATTGTGAGCCACCACACCCAGCCAAAATTGTTTAGTTTTGATTTTATACAAAAGACCTTAAAAAAATAACAGCACTTTATAACATAGGCTACAATTCAAAGATCGTGTTAGAAATTTAAAGGTTATGATATGAAGATGCTGTCAGGTCGTAGTATTTAGGAAGTCTCGTTACGGTAGTCCCAGTTAGAAGTCTGTTCCTGAGTCTAACAAGTGTAGAGCATTGATCCTAATGCTGATGCCACTAGACTTGGAGATGATGACTCACACTAATCGAAGAGAGACTGATACATAAACCAAAATTGCAGGGTATTAATTTGCAATGAAAACTCTGTCTGACATGCCTTCCAAAAGCACCTGTGCTAGTACTACCAATATATTCTTTGTTTATATATAATTCTATTTGGGAAATCACATTATGTTTAAGAAGTTACTTGGTGCACATGGACTAAGGCAGGGCAAGAACTCTCCAGTTAGAAGAGCAGGAGGCACACTTCCTTTCCCTAAGAATGATCTTGCTGGGGGAGATACGGTACCAGCACATCATTAGGTAGGAACTGGTGTTAGTTTCTATCTTTCTGTTAGTTTGCCAGAGGGATCTTGCAGTAAGGTGGATCAGTGCTCCAGTGACGTTGCTATCATTTAGTAGTTGCATGATCTTGGAAAGATTTCTTAAACTTTCTGGGCCTCAGTTTCTTATCTGCAAAGTGAAGCAGAAGCCTGCTTTTTAGGGGTTTTGTGATGATTAAATTGAATCATTGATTTAAGGCATTTTTATACCTCCTAAAATATAGAATATACTCAGTAAATGGTAGCTATTACACTTTTGGTCAAGAAAGTAGACTATTTCCTTATGTATTTTTGGCCATATGTATTAATTTTATATGTTTATTCTTTAATACTTGCGTCTAACCTCTGTCCTTTTACAATTGCAGGTGTTTCTCATTCGGTATCGGAGAAGGTGCCTCCACCAGCCTAATAAAAGGTATTGCCCGGGCATCAGGCGGCACCTCAGAATTTATCACAGGCAAAGACAGGATGCAGTCCAAGGTGAGGGACAGACTGGCTGTGTCTGTCCGGAGGTGGCAATCCAGACCAAAGTGGAATGGGGTGGGGACACTGTGCAAGGGCAGGGGTAGCAACTTTCCTCCAGGATACCTGTTCCTATATCCCCAAGGCCTTAGGCTGTATACTTCGTCAGGCTACTTTTGGCCTCATGTAATAGAAGCCCTCTGTAGTATCTGGAAATACGACATCTGGTCCCAATAGCTGCAAGCGCAGAGACAAGATGCTGAAAGGGATCGGGGCCTTTGCATTTAAGACCAGACATGGACAAACTAAGAGCTTTGACTGTCATTCATGACTAAGATTCTAGGTCTGCGCTTTAGAACCTCTTTTTGTACTACACGCATCCTGCATGCAAACTATACAAAGAAAAGGAGAAGGAATAATCGTGATAGATCTAATGGATTGGAAGAGGTAGTAAATTGCTATTCCATTTCATCTTTCTGCACAAGGAGAAGACCCCTCTGGTGGTATTTCTAAGCTCCTCTTTCCCAGTTGGTGCCACCTGTTATCTAATCCCCTTCTCCAAGGGTCTCGTTACTCAAACGTTTTCTTTATTTACATTTATGGTACTAAATATTTCAGCTTTGGCTTATTCATATGTAAAGCTTCTTCATACATAAAGCCCATCTCCTGGAATAGTATTGAGGAGTAGGCATGACGTGTATTATATTGTACCATATCTGATACATAAATAAATGTTCAGTTAATGGTAGCTGCCGTTGTCCATATCATTTGTGTTTATTCTGTTCTCTTCCCTCCATTAGGCTCTCAGGACTCTGAAACGCTCTCTGCAGCCTGTGGTAGAGGATGTCTCTCTGAGCTGGCATTTGCCTCCTGGTCTGTCTGCTAAAATGCTTTCCCCAGAACAGACCGTCATCTTTAGGGGTCAGAGATTAATCATCTATGCCCAACTGACCGGGAGGATGCCAGTGAGTTCCCATTCTTGTTTGTTCCTCTAGTCACAGAGCTACCACACTTGACCATTTCACTAAAGCTGGTAGGTGGATTTCAATCTCAACCAGAGATGATGGCACTTGCCAAGCAGAGCTAGCCTACTTCCTTCCCATCGTTTCAGGTCTCTGGTTTCCTAGGCTACCCGATTCTTCATCAGATATTTTAATACATTGTTTTGGGTACCTGCCCCTGTTCTGATCCTTCCATGGATGATCTCCTTCTTCCATCATTTCTACTCATCTCTAATTTGCAGGCAGCAGAGACAACAGGAAAAGTATGCCTCAAATACACACTCCAGGGCAAGACTTTTGAGGATAAAGCAACATTTCTTCTACAACCCAAGCCTGATGTCAAGTGAGAATTCAGTTTTCCCTTCCTTCCTTCCTTCCTTCCTTCCTTCCTTCCTCTCTCCCTCCCTCCTTCCTTCCTTCTTTCCTCTGCCATCTTTGGGGATTAGATTTCTTCTCTTAATTTTGGGCTTCATTGTAATTGTTTTCCTACAATCATTTTTTATTTCTAAACCACCCAAGTCTTATCTCTCCCCTTATCTGACTTTATCTTAACTCTTCTATTCCTAACTTTTAGGAGCCCTGAGAAACTGGTATATGGGTGTCTTTCCCAACATTTCAGTACTTTCTAATTTTTTCCTTTTAGCTTCACCATTCACCGCCTTGCTGCCAAGTCCTTGCTCCAGACCAAGGACATGGGCCTCAGGGAGACTCCAGCAAGTGATAAAAAAGATGCATTGAACCTCAGCCTTGAGTCTGGTGTCATAAGCTCCTTCACAGCTTTCATTGCTATCAATAAGGAGCTCAACAAGCCAGTTCAGGGGCCTCTGGCTCATAGGGACATCCCAAGGCCAATGCTGTTGGGTGCTTCTACCCCATTGAAGATAAGATGCCGATCAGGTAATGAGTTTTATTCTATTCAGACTCGTATATAATAAAAGGTTCTGACTATCTGAGCACATTATTTAAAGGAAAAGGCTGTGAAATGTTCTTAAGTTGCTTTGTTTTCCTTCTACCTCGACATCTAGGATTTCTGGTTAGTGTTAAACTTTTCTGTCCCAGGGAACTAGAATGCATCACATTGGCAAGGAGATTTAAAATAATCCAAGAGAAAACAAAAAAACAAACATTAAAATGCAGAAAGTGCAGGTAAACACTGAGTAACCAAACTGCCTAATCTGTGTGTCTTCTTTTGAGAAGTGTCTATTCAAGTCTTTTGTCCATTTTTAAATAAGATTATTTGCTTTCTTGGTTTTGAGTTTTATATGTATAGATACCTTTTTTATTTAGATATAATTCAAATATAATACAATTCACCCATTTAAAATGTATAATACAATGTGTTTTAGTATGTTCACAGAGTTGTGCAACCGTTGATTGCCACAATCAATTTTAGAGCATTTTCATCACCAAGAAATAAACTTCATAACTATTAACAGACATTTCCCATTTCTCTCCCTGACCCCACCTATCTTCTCCTCCACTCCCCTCCCCACCAGTCCCAGTAATCACTTACCTACTTTCTATCTCTATATATTTGCCTATCCTGTCTTTATATATTTGTTCTGGACTTATTTTCTTTCTTTGTTTTTGAGACAGGGTCTTGCTCTGTTGCCCAGGCTGGAGTGCAGTGGCACAATCATGGTTTACTGGCTTACTGTTGCTATGGCTTACTGTAGCCTCAACCTCCCAGGCTCAAGCAATCCTCCCACCTCAGCCTCCTGAGTGGCTGGGACTACCATGCCACCATGCCCAGCTAATTTTTTGTATTTTTCATAGAGATGGGGTTTTGCCATTTTACCCAGGCTGTGGCTGGCTTATTTCACTTAACATAATGTTCTCCAAGTTCATCTATGTTGTCGCAAATAACAGAATTTTGTTCTTTGTTATGGCTGAATAATGTGACATTGTGTATATATAGTACATTTTCATCATTCATTCATCCACTGATGGATACCTAGGTTGATTCCATGACTTGACTGTTGTGAATAGTGCTGATATCTCTTTGATATTACTGATTTCCTTTCTTTTGGCTGTATATCCAGCAGTGGGATTGCTGGATCATATAGTAGTTCCATTTTTAACGTTTTAAGGAGCCACAGTTTTCCACAATGGCTATACTAATTTACATTCTCACCAACGGTGTACAAGCATTCCCTTTTCCCCATGTCCTCACCAGTACTTGTTATTTTTTGTCTTTTTGGTGGTAGTCATTCTGACAGGTGTGAGGTGATAGCTCATTGTGGTTTTGATTTGCAATTTCCTGATGATTGGTAATGCTGAACATTTTTTCTATACCTATTGGCCATTTGTGTGTCTTCTTTTGAGAAATGGTCTATTCAAATCTTTTGTCCGTTTTTAAATAGGGTTATTTGCTTTCTTGGTTTTGAGTTAAATTCCTTGTGTATTTTGCATATATTAAACTCTTATCAGATGTTTGGTTTGCAAATATTTTCTCCCATTCCGTAGGTTGTCTCTTCACCCTGTTGATTGTTTTCTTTGCTATACACAAGAGGTAACCTCATTTATCTATTTTTGCTTTTGTCACCCATGCTTTTGAGCTCATATCCAAAAATAATTGCCCAGACCAATGTCAAAGATATTTTCCTTTATGTTTTCTTCTAGTTGTTTCATAGTTTCACCTCTTACATTTAAGCCTTTAGTTCATTTGAGTTGGTTTTTCTATGTGATGAGAGATAAGGGTCTAATATTATTCTTTCATATGTGCATATCCAGTTTTCTCGATGTCATTTATTGAAGAGACTGTCTTTCACCTATTGTGTTCTTAGCACTTTTGTCAAAAATTAGTTGGCTGTACATGTGTGGATTTATTTCTGGCTCTCCATTTCTGTTCCATTGGTCTGTGTCTGTTTTTATGCAAGTACTATGCTGTTTTGATTACTATAGCTTTGTAGTATATTTTAAAGTCAGATGGTGCGATGCGTCCAGCATTTTATTTGTGTGTGTGTGTGTGTGTGTGTGTGTGTGTTTTCTCAAGGTTACTTTGACTTTTTTTTTTATAATTCCATACAAATTTATGATTTTTTAATTCTGTGAAGAATGTCTTTGATATTTTCATAGGGATTGCATTGAATCTGTAAATAGATTTGGGTATTATGGCCATTTTAGCAATATTTATTCTGCCAGTCCATGAATGTGAGATATCTTTACATTTATTTGTGTCTTCTTCAATTTCCTTCATCAATATCTTACGATTTTCAGTATAGAGGTGTTTTACCTCCTCAGTTAAATTTATTCCTAAATGTTTTAATTATTTTGTAGCCATTGCAAATGAGATTGTTTTCTTGATTTCTGTTTCAGAGAGCTTGCTATTTGTGTATAGAAACACTAATGACTTTTGTATGTTGATTTTATATCCTTCAACTTTGCTGAGTTTGTTTATTATATTTAACAGTTTTTTTTTTTTATAGAGTCTTCAGGGTTTTCTATGTATAAGATCGTGTCATCTGCAAACAGGGGTAGTTTAACTTCCTCTTTTTTTTTTTTTTTTTTTGAGACAGAGTCTTGCTCTGTCACCCAGGCTGGAGTGCAGTGGCCGGATCTCAGCTCACTGCAAGCTCCGCCTTTCAGATTCACACCATTCTCCTGTCTCAGCCTCCCGAGTAGCTGGGACTGTAGGCGCCCGCCACCACGCCCGGCTAGTTTTTTGTATTTTTTAGTAGAGACGGGGTTTCACTGGGTTAGCCAGGATGGTCTCGATCTCCTGACCTTGTGATCCGCCAGTCTCGGCCTCCCAAAGTGCTGGGATTACAGGCTTGAGCCACCGCGCCCGGCAACTTCCTCTTTTCCAATCTAGATTCTTTTTATTTATTTCTCTTGCCTCATTGTGCTGGCTAGCACTTCAAGTACTATGTTGAATAGAAGTGGTGAAAGTGGGCATCCTTGTCTTGTTTCTGATTTTAGAGGAAACGCTTTCAACTTTTCCCTCTTCAATATATTAGTTGTGAGTTTGCCATAATTGTCTTTATTATGTTGAGGTACATTTCATCTGTACCTAATTTGCTGAGAGTTTTTATCATGAAGGGATGTTGAATTTGTTTAATACTTTTTCTGCATCTATTGAAATGATCATATGTTTTTGTCCTTTTTTCTGTTAGTGCAATCCATGTTTATCAATTTATGTTTATTGAACCAACTTTTCATCTCTTGGATGAATCCCATTTGATAATGATGCATGATCATTTTAATGTACTGCTGAATGTGGTTTGCTAGTATTTTTTTTGAGGATTGTGCGTCTGTGTTAATCAAGGATATTGGCCTATAATTTTACTTTTGTTGTTTTATCTGGTTTTGGTATCAGGGTAATGCTAGGAAGCTTGTTTTTAGGGTAACACTAGACAGCTTGATGGAAGCAAGCTGACATATAGGAAAAAAAGTAGAGAAGTCAAGAACTTAGTAGTCCAGATGAGGTCAAAGATCAGGTAAAACAGAAATCTCTAAGTTAGAAAACTAGAAAAATCAGATATTGTATTTTAAAACTAGGAATTTAAAAAAAAATTTTTTTTTTTTGAGTCAGGATCTCACTCTGCTGCTCAGGTTGGAGTGCAGTGGTGTGATTGTAGTTCACTGCAGCTGCGATCTCTTGGGCTAAAGTGATTCTCCCACATCAGCCTCCCATGTAGGTAGGACTCTAGACATGCACCACTATGCCTGGCTAATTTTTAATTTTTATATTGTTTAGAGATGAGGTCTCACTACATTGCCTAGACTGGTCTCAAACTTTTGACCTTGCATGATCCTTCTGCCTGGGACTGTAGGCATATGTCACCATGCCCAGATAATTCTTAAAACTTTTTACAAATATGGGACCTTGCTACTTTGTCCAGGCTGGTATCAAGCTTGTAGGCACAAGTGATCCTGCCACCTCAGCCTCCCAAAGGGTCAGAATTACAAGCGTGAACCACTGTACCCAGCTTCAATTTTTCAGTATATTTTTTATGAGTGGGACAATTCTAATAACAAGGTCTTCATGGCTCGGGAGGAAGTGGCAGCAGTAGAATGAAGTGGAAGTCATTGGATTTGATGAAGTCAAAGAAGCTTTGCATTAGGGTGTCGGGTAGGGTATCAACATGGGTGATGAAATCTCTCAAGATGATGGTAGGCCTTTCAATGGAGTGGAAGTCTATGGTCTAGTTTTCAGATACTTTAGTGAATGATTGGAAGTAACAAAGGGATTAGAAGTAGACAATATTGACGACATGTGGAAGGTAAGCCACATTTAATGATCTGGATGCAGCATGAGGGACTGAAGAGGTTGCCAACCCTACCTCCCTACTTGAAGTGTGGTACATTGAGCAACAACCATTTGAGAGTGATGGAAGGAGAATAGTCTTTTGGGAGGATAAATTCAGTTTTAAGTTGAGACTTAGCTGGCAGAAGCCTCCTGTAGTCAAACTAAAGATGCAGGAAAAATTGTTTAGCGTGTGTCAGGAGTTCCAGAGGACACACTAGAAGGAGGGCGAGGGTTTGTACAGGAGGTGGGCATATGAGAGAAAAATAGCACAGTAACTGAAGCCCATGTGGACGGGAGGGTATCTCGAATTGTCAGGGTCCTTCGTCCACTGCAGAGAGCAGGGAGTGCCACCGTCTTAATGTTTGTATGGATTTTTTCAGGTTTTCGAAAGGCCTTACCCTCCGACCGTCCTCCTTCTGCATCTCAGCCCATAAGGAGAGTTATGTGTTGTGAGGCCGTCTCATTCCAGGTGGACAATTACAGTCTCTGTGGGTTGATAAATCACAAGGACCGGCACAGTCCAGGTGAGTACCTTAATAGGAACATTTTCTCAACAGTGTTTTTCTGTCACACATATAGGACTAGGCAAGCTAAAAGCTTGTAGTTACAGCTATGACAAGACATGGATGTCTCTCGAAAAGTTCCCCTGTCTGTTGGAAAGGACTCATTCCTCCACCCACAGAACCAACTTGGAAACTTACCATGCAGGTGAGGCAGGCCTTGGTTCACCCCTCCAATCTATCGGGACTGAGAAACTAACCTTCAATGTTCTGCTGCCTCTGGCTTTCTTTACCCAGGAGGTCATCTGTTTGAAAAGCAGCGGGCAGATGGTCAGATCTGTTCCACCCCTATGTTTCCCAGGGTCAGCCCAAGTAGCTTCATTAGTGTATCATATAGGACCCTGAAACCTGCTATCTCAGTGGAGTCTAGGGTGACCCCTAGTTGAACAAACTCCCTTGACGATCTCAGCTCACACGGCTTGCCTGCGGGCTCCCCCCGCCCCCCGGCAGAGCCCTACTGCCACCCCCTGTGAGCCCCTGTTCCACTGGTCATCCTTTCACAAGTAGGGTTTGAAGACTGATCTTCTGGATGTTGTCTGATGACTTTCTTTCTATGGCATTCTTGCTATGGCCTGTCTCTGAATTTAGCAGCCCTAAATTCAAGTATGCTGAGGGGCCAATAGCTCCATAATTTCTCGTCCTCCCCTTTTCTTTCTCCTCAAAGGCTTTGGAGAGAATCATCTTGTGCAGCTGATTTACCACCAAAATGCAAATGGTTCCTGGGATCTGAATGAAGATCTAGCCAAGGTCCTAGGTGTGAGTTTGGAAGAAATAACGGCTGCACACCCTGCTGAGGTAAGATTCAGTGGAAAAAGGAGTATGTATGTTTTTGAGAGAGAAAGGTCATCATTGAGAATGGAGGTGATTCAGGACCTATCTGAGGAAGGAAAATATAGGGAGCCATAGAGTAAATTAATTTGTAATAAATAGAGGCTGAAGGTTTTTCTGGTCATGTTAGAGCAGAAAGAGCAAGGGATTAATGGGGAAGCTAGTAGGAATTGATGGTTTTTTTGTTGGTGGATGATAAAGGAAAAGCAACATTCTCCTCCACTTTAATCGTATTCCCTGCCAATGGTCTTGGTTATATAACTAATATTTAGTGAGCAATTACTCTGTGCCAAGCACTGTACTGAGCAATTAATATTCGTGAGCTTATTTATTTCACACATTAATTTAATAAGGTAGATCCCATTTGTGTTGCTGTTTATAGATGAAGAAACTGAAGTCTAGGGAGGTCTAAAAAGGTGTCTTGAGTTTACCTAGCCCATCAGTAGCAGAGCCAGATTCAGTTCTAAGACTATCTTGAGAACTCCCAATAATAACCTCGTTATTGCTCCTCTTCATACTGATGAAAGTGGTCCAGACATTGGCAAAGTTAACTGAAGTCAGGATACATGAAGTGTTGTTAATAGGAACCACCTAGTTGTTTCAGATGTATTTAAATATACTGATGAGGATAAATTGCATTCCAGAATTTCAAGGTAACTTGCAAAATCTTCTAACACTCATTGAGAAATTGTCAGGCATGAGACAGGTGCAAAAAGCCTGAAGGACAAATATCATTCTAAACTTTCAAAATGTGGAAAGAGATCAAATAAATTTAAGATATTCTGCAATTCCACTGTCCAATGCAGTGTCCACTAGTCACATGTGGCTATTGTGCCTTTGAAACGTGGCTAATACCAATGAGGAACTAAATTTTTAATTGAATAGAGGGGTGCTATGGTGGGAAATCCATACTAATTGCAAAGACTTTATATAAAAAGGAATAAAACATTTCATCAATAATTATTTGTATATTGATTGCATGTTAAAATGGTGACTTTTTAATAGATTGGGTTAAATAAAATATATCAGTAAAGTAATTATACCTTTTTATTTTTACTTTTTAAAATTTGGCTACTAGAAAATTTAAAATTACATATGTGTCTAGCATTATATTTTTATTGGAAAATGCTGTTATAGAAAAAGTAATTAAGATGATAATTCATACACACTTGGAAGAGGATACAGGGATTATTTAGATGCACTGGGAACAAAAAACATCAGATTGACATTTCCTTCTTTGGAATGGTATCCAGGCCAATGGAATCAAGTGAACCAACAGACCTGGTATGTCTGAATTTCAGTAAGGAATTTGATATACATTTTTTTTAATGATGAGAACATGGACCAAGTACAAACTAGTTGAAAACCCATGGCACTGAATGATGAATTGATTTCAAACTTGAAACAGATTTTTAGACCCACCAGGCTCTGAATTCTCTGGAGATTCACAGTTTCAATAAAGATTTAGATGAAGATAAAGACCAAGGCTTTCCTATTTGTAGATGACAAAACTGGGAGATAAACTATCAGTCAAAAGAATCAGGATCCCAAAAAACCTCTGAATAATGAGTTACAATTTTTCATTAAAAAAAAAAAAGAAAAACAATATAGTAGGAATAAAAGCTAAGTACTGTTTTGAGTTGCAAATTCCCAACTCTACAGGTAGAGAAGAGAGCATTTGCACATGAAAATCAGAGGTTTTAGATGACTACAACTGTATGAGTCAGAATATTTAACTAAGTAATGGAGGACAACAGGGTTACCTGAAATGCTACCGTATTCTTGGGCTGTGATTGTAGAATTCTGTAAGTGCATTTACCTCCAGATAGACTATTTAAGGAGCTGTATTTTTGGAATCATTATGCTGTTTGTTTTTAGACTAGGAGAACAAGCATGGGGATGTTTGCTGCTTTGACTTAAGCAGTCCTCTTAAGGAAGAAATGGAGGAATTGAGAATTCTAATGTGAAATAAGACCACTCAGAGAGGACATGATAACCATTTCCAAGTTTATTTGTTTGTTTATTTATTTATTTATTTATTTTCGAGATAGAGTCTCGCTCTGTCGCCCAGGCTGGAGTGCAGTGGCACGATCTCCGCTCACTGCAAGCTCCACCTCCCGGGTTCTCACCATTCTCCTGCCTCAGCCTCCCAAGTAGCTGGGACTACAGGCACCTGCCACCAAGCCCGGCTAATTTTTTGTATTTGTGTTTTAGTAGAGGCAGGGTTTCACCGTGTTAGCCAGGATGATCTCCATCTCCTGACCTAGTGATCCGCCCGCTTCGGCCTCCCAGAGTGCTGGGATTACCGGTGTGAGCCACCGCGCCCGGCCCCATTTCCAAGTTTTAAAGGTCATGATATAAAATAGGAATTTCCCTTGATCTCCTGACTCTAAAAACTGAAGCTGGGAGCAGTGGGTGTAAACTCATGGGAGACAATTTTCTGCTGTATGGCTGAGATTTTCTATTGAGAAATAAGAGCAATACAACTAGAATCAGAATATTTGGCCTTTAGTCTCACTTCTGTCATTTGCTAGATGGCTAAGTTTGGGCAAATCATTTTGTTAATACTTCTATTTGAAATCAGTTTTCTTTCTTAAAAATGTTTATTGATATTTTTTCATGTTTTTTTGGGGGGGTATAAGGGTTACAATTAAAAAGACTCATGAAGGTACTTTATAAACTATAAAGTAATTTTGCCTATGTTTCTCTTACTAGAGCTGGGTAAGCCTTGTCTTAGGGGTTTCCAGAACTGTCCTGGTGGTTACACTGGATTTAAAACTTAGGATTTTCTATTTCGAGACTCAGTGGATTGCTGCCCTGAGGTTTAAGGCCTGGCATTATGCCTTGCAAGTAGTATCTGGAGGTACAGAGAGACCAGGTAACTCCATCTAGTAGCATTTAGAAGGATGCTAAGTGAGGAGGGAGCGAATCTTTTTGCATCCTTTTGAGGGACTTCCTGCGCCAACTGGAGCTCTCTATCTATTGTGCAGCTTGTGGATTCCTCAGGCTGGGCCACCATCCTGGCTGTGATCTGGCTGCATGGCAATGGTAAGGACTTGAAGTGTGAATGGGAGCTTCTGGAAAGGAAGGCCATGGCCTGGATGCGTGTCCATGCAGGTAGGAGCACAATCCTAAGGCCTGTCTCCTTCCCCTTCCCTGGCCTGGCAGAAGGTTACCACAAGAGAGTCCCATTGTCACCTGTCTCCACCATCCTGCTTCAGATCTTTACTAATCTGCCTGCTAGTTCTTTTCTTGGGGGGACAAGGGTGAAATCTTAAATTGGGGACAAGGTAGGCGGGTGAGTAGGGAGGGAGAGGGACACGAATGGGGAGTGTGAACTGTGAGAAGGACAAGTGGCATTGATTCTCCTTACTGTCTCAGTACCAAGCTGAGTAGAAGACTAGAGTTGGAGTGTATTCTCCTGGCTGTTTGTTATCTCACTGCAGCTGAGTGTATCTGGGGCCAGAGAAGATTCAAGGAGAATCTGGGCAGTAAGAGGAGAAAAAGCAGGGATATTGAGGACAGAGAAAAGCACAACTCCTAGATGATCTGGGAGGTTTGGAGGAGCCTCTCATTGCGATCCTTCATCCCTGATTCTTGTTTTTCCTCACCACAGGCTCCACCATGCCTTTGGTTGTGAAAGCTGCTATTACTTTCCTGAAGTCATCTGTGGATCCTGCTATCTTTGCCTTTTGAAGATACCATCCAGAAAAAGAAGTGCCTTTAATTTGCTACTGTCATTTCCTCTATTATCACTTCTTCTGTGATAATGTGTTCTTGTGTTTTATAACTCTTTATTTTTTGCCATGAAAGTAAAGGATGCTTACTCCACTTTGCTTCTCTGCTCCAGGTTCACTTTGGATATGATCTTTCTTTTCCCAACATATCCCCTCAGAAAAGTGACAGTGGTCCCAGAACCTATTCCCTTTCTTGAAGGAGTTCAAACCATGCGTAGGCTTGTAATGTTCCTCCCAGGGTTTCCAGGGAAACAACATGAAAAACAGGTGACATGAACTACAGACTAAAGATTGCAGCCTTGATGTTAGGGAATGCCTGAACTAGAGAATTTTCTGCATTATCTTTGTCTGTTCACTTTCTATCTTATATACTTGTCAGGACTATACTGGTAAGCTTTGAAGTTTTCCGTGTGTAGGAGGAGTTAGAGGGAAGTTGAAAGCCAACATCTGGATCAATGTAATGTCAAGATCACAAAAAGAGAGACTCCAGGGGTCCTCTGTGAGAGGTGGCACTGTTGGGGACCTTCCTGATTCATTCTGCCTGGGCTTTGCTAGCCTGCACAACCTACATGCCTTTTCTTCCACTGCCTGAAAGACTTGGTTTGAACTCTAATTGTTGGAGAGAGATGTTCCTCCTTAATCATGAAACACCTTAGGAAGAAGTCTATAATGCAATCCTTAGTCCTACCCTGAACCTATGAGTCCTCTAAGTCAGGCCCTGATCTAGTGCAGTAAAGGGAAGGGTGGGCTTAATGGGAGCTTTGCCTGGGACCTGAACCTGGAGGACTTACCACATTAGGAAGAAAGGAACTCCCCATGATCGCTCCTGACCCTTGTGTCTCATGTACCCTATCCTAGTGGAAATGATCCTGTTTGATATGCTATCCCTTAAAATAACTCATATCAATGCTGTCCCTTAAAATAACTTGTATCAATATTAAAACGACTATTTCTACCCTTTGATGAGTAAATGCAGTGGTTCTTAAAGTGGTCTCGTCTCCCTACCCCACAAATCTTTTGCTACTGCCATTTTGGGAAGCTAAGCTAGGATAGTAAATTGACCAGAACACAGTCGTGGAAATTTCACCTGAAGTTAGTGAAATACAACTTTAAAGAGTCGGGAAAAAAAGCTTAGTAAGAGGTCTACTCTTCCATAGATTCATTTATTGAACTTATATTGGTTTTATTATCCCTTGTTTTCTGTCCCAGCTTTTCTGATGCCTCCACTGTTCCCATGGTATCCTGTCCCTCTATTCTTCTGTTGTAGGCTGACTTCTCTTACATGAAGCAAGTAAAGGATACTAATGAGAAAACCACTGTAGAATCCTGACCATACCCTTAAATAGTTATGTGATGATGGGCAAATGATTTCACCCTCAGGCACTTAATATCCTCATCTGTAAAACCAAGGGATTAAACTTGAACTTTATTAACACTTTTGAATTCCACTCAGAATTCCTAGAGGAACATCAGTGCCGTTTCACTCAGAAAATGGGTAGACTAGGCCTGAGTTTCTTTAAGTTGTTGAGTTACCTGGTATTAGGAAGACTTGTGTGACTTGCACAGTGGAATCTAATCTCTCAGTCTTTCTTCAAGTTTGATTATGCTGAATGTGATCTGTGGAACAGGGTTGTAGCACTACCTAGAAGCTTGTTAGAAATGCAGAATTTTAGTCAATACCAGGAACTACTTTATTTAACAAGGCTCCCAGGTAGCATGCATGCACATTGAAGTTTGAGAAGTAAAGGCTTAGTGTTTTCATGAAATAGGCTTGTATCCAAGTCTGCCATCTAGATAGACCCTACCTATGTAATCTCAGAAAATAGTTTTCTAAGGACCATGAAACTTGTATAGTTAACCTCTGTGCACACAGTGCTGCAACTTTACATTTATTATGCAGAGCATTTATTGTTTATCTCCTTTTTTCTCACCCTTCAGCTTCCAGACTGGGGCTTGAGGACTTAGTGCAGGGCCTTCTAAAACAAAAAACAAAATGAACCAAAAGAAACAAAAAAAAATTATCAACCTGTCTTTTGTCCTCTTTAAAATAAGACAACTACAGTTTTAAAGTGGCATGGTTTTATTTTTCCACTTGGGCTCCTGCACAATGAAATGTTGTGCCAACTGTAAATTCCTCGAATCTAAACAAGTGTCAGTCTTCATAATCAGCAAATGGCATTTTGGCACATTTGTTGAAACCCCATTTCAAGCCTGATGCTTTATGTTTTGGGAAAGTATGAAGAGCCATCTGTAATTTCAGAAACTGGTAGTCCAGGCAAGGAGCCCAGGAGAGAAGCTGTTCTCATCTCCCATTGGTTGCCTTTATCTAGTACTTGTTTCCCCATAGCAGCAGACTTGGCCACAGGAAAAGTGGCGGATACCATTCCCTCAAGATTCTTCCACTCAAACAGCCCAGGAGCTCCCCTGGAGAGTTCTCTGTTCTACATAGACTTATTAATGAAATTCATCCCCTGTCTTCCCCAACTCTAACACAGTCCTACTCAGGGTCACTAAGCATCTGCTCTTCCTCTCCCAACTCACATCAGTTACTTCCTTAAAAACAGTCCATCTGCTTTCTGGAGTATCGATTGACCAGGAGAAAACCAAGGGAAAAAAAAAAAAAACGTGCAGTGAACTATGTATTTTATCAGTTTTTGCCTCATATATTTTGATATTCTCCTAAGTGCATACACATTTAAAATTATTATACATCCTTGGAAAGTTGACTCTTTTATCATTATTTAATGCTCAACTTTATCCCTGATTGTTGTTGTTGTTGTTCTGAAGTTGACTTTGTCTGAAATTTATGTAACTACAGCAGATTTCTGCTGATTGATTTTGGCAGGGTATATCTTTCTCCATCCCTTCACTTTTAGCCTATATGAGTCTTTTTATTTAAAGTGGATTTTTGGAAACATGATATGGTTGGGTCTTATTTATTTGTTTTTGTTTGTTTTTAATCCACTTTGGCAATCACTACTTTTAAATTATCTACCCATATCATTTATATTTAGAGTAATTATTGATAAAATTAGGTTAATATCTACCATGTTTGTCAACTGTTTACTATTTATTGCATTTTTCTCTTTGACTTTTATTTTTGTCTTTTCTCACTTTAACCAGGCATTTTATGCGATTTCATTTTATCTCCATTCAATATATCCATCATGTTTCTTACGAATACTTTTAGTTGTGCCTCTGGAGTTTGCAATATGCATTTATCACTAATTTAAGCCCACCTTCAAATTACACTATATCACTTTACATGTAGTGCAGTTACCTTATAACAGAGCATTCCTAAGTCCTTCTTCCCATCCACTATGACATCACTGCCATTAATTTCACTTATATCTATATTTTAACTACCCAATTGTTACTATTATAACTTTAAACAGTTATCTTTCACATCGATTAATAAGAATATGCATTTCACTTTTATTTATTTCTTCCCTGACATTTCCTTTCTTTACATAGATCTGAGTTTCTTACCTGTATCCTTTTTCTTTTTCCTGAAGAATTTGTCTTAATACTTCTTGTAGAACAGATCTGTGGGCAATGGATTCCCTTAGTTTTTCTTTTTGTCTGGGAAAGTCCTTATTTCTTCTTCACTTTTGAAGCTTAATTGTGCTGAACATATAGCTCCGTGTGTGTGTGTGTGTGTGTGTGTGTGTGTGTGTCAATTTTTTTTTTTTTTTTGAGACAGAGTCTTGATCTGTCACCCAGGCTGGGGTGCAATGGCACGATCTTGGCTCACTGCAACTTCCACCTCCTGGGTTCAAGTGATTCTCCTGCCTCAGCCTCCCGAGTAACTGGGACTACAGGCACATACCACCACACCTGGCTAATTTTTTGTATTTTTAGTAGAGACAGGGTTTCACCACGTTAGCCAGAATGATCTCGATCTCCTGACCTTGTGATCCACCTGCCTTGACCTCCCAAAGTGCTATGATTACAGGCGTGAGCCACCGCATCCAGCTGTCTTGTCTTTTAACACTTTAAATATTTTACTTCAATCTCTTTTAGCATGAATAGTTTTTGGCAAGAAACATGCTGCTCTTCTTTTTCCTCTATAGGTAAAGTGTTCTCCCCCTTCCACCCCGCAGACTTCTTTCAGGATTTTCTTTTTGTCTTTTGTTTTCTGCAGTTTGAATATTATAGTTGTAAATGTAAGCGTTTTTACCCTAAAAATCTACTGAATATTACAATACCTCAAAAAACGATTAAAGTGAATGAATGGATTTTACAGTACATAAACTACACTTCATTAAGCTTTTTTTTAAAAAAGGTAAAATAAAGGCTTAAAAAAGCATGGATTCCAAACTCCATACAGAGTTTGATATCTGACAAAGGTTTTAAATATATATATATATATATAATCTCATGTAAGCCTGACTGTATTCCTATACAATTCCACTTTCAGCTTTATGACTATGCTTACTATTATTTAAGAAGAATTGCCTAACATTATACCCTCATCCCTCCCTGAGACTCTGTCTATTTACGGACCCTCACTGCATTACTGAGTTCTTCCCCACACCTCACCTCATTTTCACATCTCACCATTAAGGATGTCTGTTTGTTACATCACTTAGTAATAAAAACTGGTTTATGTGCAAAACAAACAAACACAAACTTTTAGCTTTAGATAGACAATAGAAAAAAAATGTTTTCTACCTCGTAAGTTCCAAAAAGTACAATTCTGTAAATGAAGGGTCAGTGAAGTGTGGAGATTTGGTAGATCAGACTACATGGAGGCCAGTTTCAACTCTAACATGCAAAGAGTTTGGAAATCACCATTCTCATCATTACCACAAGAAAAAACTGAATGAACATGATATGGTTTGGATTTGTGTCCCCGCCCAAATCTCAGGTGGAACTGTAATCCCCAGGGTAGGAGGTAGGCCTGGTGGGAGGTGACTGGATGATGGGGGTGGATTTTCCCATTTGGTGCTAACGCATGTTTTCTGCTTTACTGAGGTACAATAGACAAATAAAAATGATCAGTCTGTGTCTTTTGATTGGAGAATTTATTTCATTTACATTTAAAATAACTATTGATAAGTGAAGACTTATCACTGCCATTTTAATTATTTATGTTTGTTTTGCAGTGAGCTTGTTCTTCTCTTGCTTTCTTCCTTTATTTGATTTTTTATTTTTTGGTTTAATTATTTTCTCTTTATCTTTTGAGACTTTTCTTTGTGGTTATCTTAAGACTTTCATAAAAATATCTTGTAGTTAAAAACCATCTGTTTTAAGTTAATAGCAATTACAACTGCATACAAAGACTCTATGATTGAAAATATTACTATTTTTTACTTTTAAAAATAAAAATATGAATAGCTACTTGTTTTGAATATTAAGAACAAAGATTATAATACTTTATTAATAAATTAGCTGAATTATCTGGTTTTGGGAGAATCTGTAATCACTATTACATAAAACCATTAAAATGACTGTTACAGATATAATTAATACACAGCTATATATTTTCCGTTTTGTACCAAATCTTTACTCTAAACAATAATCATCTCATCATAATGTTCAGGTGTAAATAAATATATGAATGACACTACCACCCTGGTACAAGATACATAGAGTTGCACACATTCAAAACAACCCTATCAGTTATGATAGACTAAAAATTAGCACATCTGCTGTTGTGATTTCTTAATGTCCATGGCTAAATAGACACACATTAAACAAAGAAGATATTGTAAAATGAAGCTGTAGTTCAGGCGGATCAGATTTATCTTAGGAATAAATCGAAATATTCTCTTATAACTATATCTATTAGAATGCATGATCAAAGGACATGGTGTGACATTTAAAGGCATAGATTCTGAATTTTGGTTCAATAATTTCTGAAGCTCCAATAACTGATAGTTGGTTAATATTGATTGAGGCACCAAATACTTTCAGGCTTACATTTCCGTTGAGAGATGTAAACTAGTGATTCATTTTAGACA